TGATGAAAATGATGACGATTACGGCGACGTAACGTCTACAGAAAACCCAAACTCTGGTGGGAAGCAAAACCACAACCATTATGTAGGTTTTACTAGTATCCTTCTCCATACAAAACTGGCAGCTCTCTTTTTTCAGTTGCATATCGACCTCAGCAATATGGACGAAAAGACAAAAGCTCTTCTAAAGAGGATGCTACAGGCAATTCTCGATAGTGATAAGGTATGCTAATAGGGGTCAAATATAGCCCTCAGTTCCAAAAAAAATTTAGGGGAAGAAAGCATCTGGAGTGAATGTGATAGATGACGATGTACTAAAGCGAACAATCTGTTCTAGTTCTCACAAGCGCTTTGTTTTGAAACAGGAGAGTATTGGTTGTACCGGAGCATTAGGTTGGTCTGGTAACATTTAAGAAATGATTGCTCATCAAACTTCCCAGATTTTTCCAAAGCGATATGCGAGAAACACCTGGATTGTATTTTGAATGAAAAGAAAGAGATATGCGAGAGAAAGTAAGCAGGAAAGCAACAATTACGCACTTGATTGGTCAATATATATATTAATTTTTAGGGCGTGTACAGAGGTTAGGTCAGGGTCAAAGAAGAATAAATGTTACAGAAAACTCTTTAATTGTGAGGAAGGTCAACCATAATAAATGTTAATTATACTACTGTGTCCATTTGATTCGTGTCACTCGATACTTAAGTTTTTTGATTATTAATATAGGGCTTTGCATTTATGCAACAGTCTCACTTACAATATAAACTTCTCAACAATGTCGTTTTGCCCTGGATCCTGTTGTCATTTCTGTGCGCAGTGTTTATATAATTTAAGAATGCTAATGTCGAAAAGCCTGAAGCACTTCACACTTTAAAAAGTGCAGGAGAAGCAACAGCGAAAGTTAACCATCGATGAGTCAAAAAAAGGAACGAATTTGCTTATTTTCTAAGTACAGTACATACTAGTCTCAACTAATCAACTATGTCTAGTTATCTCAACAGACAATTCAATCTACCCATTAAGTACAATACGTCTCATGGCTTCTGCAAAAAAAAAAACAACGTGATTTCACATAAAAATCGTTGCAAACGCTGCGTCGTCACACTTCTGTTAAAATAGAAATTTTCCAAAAGGTAAAGCTTTGTTAGACTCACTCGTCTAAAGAAATCTTAAGGTACGCCACACTACAGTAATATCTAAGTCGTACAGTACATATGGTAGGAAGTCAACATAACAAATCTGCTTGTAACGAGGTTTATATAATATCCTCACGCAAAGCTTTAGACGAATTTGTTATGTTGACTTCCTACATCATCCACCGTACAGTGGGATATACTTTAAGATTCATTTGAGCTGAGTGTAGTACACCTTTCTTTTTGAAATATTATTTTGATAGCATGTCGATGTGACGTTTCGCAAAATTTTTTAAATGTGAAATCACGTATCTTTTGCAGAACTTATAATCTGTTTCTCATATTTGTAGTCATATAGAATGGCATTCGAAAGCCTATTCCAGATTTAGACAAAAGCAGCAAAGTTTTCGCTTCAGAACGCTTGGAGGTAAAGCCTTTAAGCGTATTTGACGGATTATGTGCGTAACAGCGGGTAAATTCTCATTATCTTGCAGAAAAACTTCTGGAACAAAAGAAAACCAGAGCTGGAGTCAGATTGAATTTAGCCTTTATGCTGCATTTGAAAATGTGCATCTCAGCCAAACCGACAGTTTTCACCTTTAGAGCAAAATGGGTCTTCTATCCTCTTT